CCCGCCGCTCGTGCGACTTCCGCGAGGACGATTCGGTGCACGCATACCACCGCGCCACCAACGCCGACTACCGCGGCAGCGGCTTCGACCGCGGCCACCTCGCCGCGGCCGCCAACCACCGCTGGAGCCAGAAGGCCATGGACGACACCTTCTACCTGAGCAACGTCGCGCCCCAGGTAGCGCCGGCGCCCGGCCCGGCCGCGGAGCGCGGGGCCGGCGCCTCACCTCCCTGAGCCTCAGTCTGTCACCTGCGGAATGGGTAGCAGCTTGTGCGCGAGCTAGGTCTGGCGCCTTGCTGGTCACAGCCCGCGCGCCGAAGGCAGGAGGGAGAACACAGGGGCTCCAAGCCGTGGCTCTGCAGACACACCAGGGCTCGAACTTAACCTGTGAGCCCCCCACCCCTGGCACCTCCCTGAGCTTCAGTTTCCTCGTCTGTAAAATGGGGATGATACTATTACTTACCAATCTCTTGTGGTAGTAGTGCTGAGGTGAAGACACAATGCAGGTGAACAAGGCCGCTGAGCTCTTGATTACTAGCTACCCTGGGGAACTGAGGCTCAGAGAGGTCAAGTGACTGGCCCAGTGTCACACACCAGGAGAACCCAGGTCTGGGAGATCCTGAGTTTTCAGGCTGTTGTCCTGCCCTGCGTGCCTGCCAGCAGTTACAGGGGAGACACCTGGCACAGGGTTGGGCTGTTAGTCTCTGTGTGTCCTGGACACGCCACCCTACCTTGCACCCTGTTCCAAGCAGTGCCTGGCACCCAGTGGATGGAGACTGACATGGGGCACTGAGTGAAGCCCATGGGGTACAAGCCTCCAACCCGAAGGCACAGTCCCTCACCCATTTTCCTAGGCATTGTCCTGAGGCTTGGAGGGCTCAAACCTTTGAGGCAGATTCATGATTTTTCTAGCTGGGTTCTGCATATGGCTCAGACGGGAAAGTAGTTGATGGTTGGGAGGGCTGGCTTTCCGGTGAGCCCCTGAGTGGAAGGGTAGGGAAGCAGGCCTCCTTTTCTCTCTGAAAGGGGGAGATGCGCCCCTTCCTTTGTGCAGCTATTTGGAGCTGAGAAAAGACTTTGAGAAAAGATTTGGAGGTGTGGGAGGGACAGATGGAGTGGGGTGGCTAGCACCCTGTCAGCCCAGCCCAGGCTCCACCCTCATGGCCTCATGGCTCCGGGGAGTGACTGTCTTTCCCTGAGCCTGTTTGCCCCACACTGGATATCTCCTGCCTTGCCCACCCTGAAGTCCTGACAGAGGGAAAAGGGACTCAGCCACAGTCCTGCTGAGCCCCATCTCTCCTACCAGGTGCCCCACCTCAACCAGAATGCCTGGAACAACCTGGAGAAGTACAGCCGCAGCTTGACCCGCACCTACCAAAATGTCTATGTCTGCACAGGGCCACTCTTCCTGCCCAGGTGAGGCCGAAACTGGGGACCTGGGGATGGCAGGGCCTCCTGCTCACCCCACCAGGCTTGCCGTGGGCTCTGGGTCAACACCAGGTCACTATTCATCTGGTTTCTTGGCAAGTCTGTTTGCCTGCCTCAGACCCCCCCCCATTCCAATTCCATAGCCAGAGACCTTTGGGGCACCCACTTGGACTGTCTCCTGTGCCCATGGGCACCAGGTCCTGAATCTGCCCTCACTCCTTTCTCCTCTGTCGCCTCTTGCCACACTCACCCAATCCTGTGTCCTGCCCAGATGGAAACCCCTGCAGATACTCGATGCATCCAGCTCTCACCTCTGGTCTCTGTTCTGCTTGGAGGCTCTTCCCCACCCTTCTCTGCAGCCAGAGTTTGAACTCAGATCTCTTGAACTTGTCTCTCCATTCTTGTCCCTCCACCGCCCTGCCTCTGAAGTGGAAGGGACTGAGCTCCTCTGGGCACATTCAGTGACTGTTCTGGCCCACTAGGGATGGGGACAAGTGAGGCAATAGGTTGCATCTGAGTGGCTGGCTCTGAAATCCACAGGCTTGGGATGGAGTCTAGGCCTTATCACCTAGTCTCTTAGTGCTGTGGGCAAATGACCTCAAAGTCCTCCCCTGTAAAAGGGGGATAAAACCTGTGACCTCACACTCGAGGGGACTAAGTGGACATCACATGCTAGCCCAGGGCCTGGCCTGCTGTAAGGTTTCAGCACAGGCTGGCTGAGGTGGTGGCTGGAGCACTCACAAGCTTTCCTTAGTATATCCCATGGCCTGCTGAAATGGAGGGACTGCTGAGCAAAAACCTGGAAGTCACCCAGCTAATGTTTTGGCACCTCTTATGTGCCAGGCCTTATGCTGGGTGCTGGGATTTCAGCTGCTCTAGCTCTTGCCCACTTGATGCCCCTCCATGGGGTAGACAGCAAGCATCTTTGTGGATGAATGTAACATTTAGGAGGCTCAGTTCTTTCAGTAGCATTTTATTGCCACTTACTCTGCCGGACTCCATGTTGGGTATGAGGAAAACAGAGGGAAAGTCTCTACTCTAGAGAGTTCCCAGCCTCAAGGAGGAGCCAGGCAGGGGACAAACGCCTCACAGTAAGGGGCAGTCCTACAGGATGGCAGAAATTGGAGTTCAGATCAGGGAAGGCTTCCTGGAGACAGCAGCCTTGGGTCTAACCAGATCCCCTGCCCACATGTGCCTGGGTTTGCCCGCAGGATGGAGGCTGATGGAAAGTACTATGTGAAGTACCAGGTCATCGGCAAGAACCATGTGGCGGTGCCCACGCACTTCTTCAAGGTGCTGATCCTGGAGGCCACGGGCGGGCAAATTGAGCTCCGTTCCTACGTGATGCCCAACACACCGGTGGAGGAGACAGTCCCCCTAGAGCGCTTCCTGGTGCCCATTGAGAGCATTGAGCGTGCTGCGGGGCTGCTCTTCGTGCCAAACATCCTGGTGCGGGGGGGCAGCCTCAAGGCCATCACTGTGGGCAGCAAGTGAGGGCAGCAGCCCCGCCAGACTGAGTGCGTGTGGGTCTGGGTCACATTAAAGGTGATTGGTTATTTTTGGAGATAAGACTTGGCTACATCTGTCCCCAGGTGAACCGTGGGAACCCCTGGATTCACTGCTGCCTTGTTGCTGTCCTGGAGCCGACAGAACCTTCAGGTGGGCCGGGCACCTGCCTGGGTGAGGCCAGGCTGCAGGGCAGCCAGGGAGATGAGGATGGCTTCCTGGAAGAGAAGAGTGGCAGTGGGCTGGGAGGGGGAGTCCTTAGCAGGGACTGGAAGGCTAAGGACAGGCCCAGGTTCATACTTCAGATCTGCCACTTGGCGAGCAGCACGCCCTGCTCCTCGATCTCCTCTTCTGTAAATGGGGGTGATAGTAATGACACCTGCCTCCCGGGGCCAGGGGAGGGTGACATGGCAGGCAGGAAGTTCTCAGCCCTGACTGCAGGTGTGGGAAGGTTGGGAGCTAAGTACGGCTGGCAGGCTCATAGTACTTGGCCTGGGCAGGGCCTCCGGGACGGGTAGACTAGGCTGTCTGTTTAGTCACCACCCCTTTAAGACTGATGGGAGCAACAGGGCCTCCCCTAGCAAAGCGCCCACAGGCAGCATTCTATGCTGACCTCAGAAGTGTGTGCGCAGGTTCCATGGATGCCCAGGACTAAGGCCCTCAGATCTGCCCACACACTGCTCCCCCACGGGACAGAGATGCAAGGGAGGCCCTGCAGGGAGAGCTGCCGTGCCCATCTGGGCCACCGAGGAACACTGAACAAACAGCTAAGGAAACATAGGCCCAGAGCAGGGGTGGGCAGGGGGGCCTGGGAGTACAGGAGTCGCACTAGCACCAGGATGCTTGACTCCCAGCTGCACTCATGTCCTGTCCCTGCCACAACTCTGCTGTGGTGGGAGGCTGACGGGGGTGAGGAGACCATCTCCAGAGAAGGCAGCCTTGAGTGGGAGTGGGCTGCAGGAGAGATCTGCAGCCCCTCTTGGACAGATCCCGAAACCCCAGCCGCAGCTGCTGGCTGAACCTTGGGCACAGCCCGAGGCGGTGGGGGGAGGCAGGCAGGCTCACCTCAGTGCGGATGGTGCGGCTGCCCTGGCCAGGGCAGGTGTTGAGGTACAGGTCAAAGAGGACACTGGGTTCAGTCACCTCCAGGTTAGGGTCAGCATCCACTCCAGCTTCCAGTCCCTGGAGGCCCCCAAACACTACGAGAGCATGCCTGGCATTGCAGGGTGTGGATTGATGACCATCAGGGCCCCACTGAACCCAGCCCCCAGAGCTCCCAGCACCCCATACACAGTAGGGGCCCAATCTGTGCAGCTTTGCCCCACTGGGGAGGTTCCCAGCTCCATTTTTCCCTCCCTGGCCTCTGCCCCAGGTGGCACCCACCTGAAGTTGGGAAGCTGGGCAGAGGCGACATCCGAGCCACGCTCTGATGTCCCGATGGTCAGGTCGTACCCATCCTGGAAAGGGGCCTCAGCAAATACAGCACCTGTGAGTGGGGCCAGCTCAGTGGGGGTCCTGCTCCCCAGAAGCCGCAGCCTCTTGGTAATGTGTGTGTGTGTTAGGGGTGTGGAGGTGGAGAAGAGGGCTCAGGTATGGGAGCCACACCCAGGCCCTCCCCTGTTCCTGGGAAGTCAAGGACTGAGCAGGATGGAGACCAGGCCTGTGCTTGGTTGGGGGAAACAAAGCACAGGGTAAGTAGGAAGAGCTCCAAGAACATGTAGTGGACCTTATATCTGGCCCTTTTGTTCTGTGCCGCCTCCCAGACAGAGGGATGGGTGGATATCCAGAGAGGGAAGCTCTGTCCTTACTGAGGCAGGAGGCCAGTCGGACGGTGTAGCCCCAGTAGAGCCCAGCTTTGGTGCGAGGGTCCTGTGATGACACAACTCTTCCACGGTAGGTCTTGCATTCTGGAGGAGAAAGAGGCTGTAAAGATGAGGTAAGGGAACAGGGAAGTGGAAGGAGGAGGCTCCAATCCCTCAGGCTGGCCAGGCCACTGCAGGGGCCAGGAAGCTTCCAGATACCTGGGAGCTGCTTTTGGTTCAGTTGCACTGTCACCCGAAGTCCAGGCTCCAGGTTCTTGTCAATCTTCACTTCCTGGGGAGAAGCCAGAATGGTTGTCATTACCCTCATGACCAGCAGGGGTCATCACTCTTCCAGATGCAACTGGGGAACTGCAGGGCTGGCTAAGGACCCAATGTGTCCCGGTCAACCTACCCTCCTTCCACTCTAGCACATGGGCTGCACCTGCTCACAGACCATTTGTGCAAAATGACTATCACAAGACATTGGTCAAAAATGAGCACTTGAGTCCTGGCACAGAGTAGGAAGTAAATATTTCACAATTAGATGAAATCCCAGTTTTCTACATTTTGGTGGCCCTGTGGCTTACTAGGAATTTGAGCAGGTCATTAACCTCTCTTAGCTTCAGTTTCCTCAGCTGTCAAATCAAAAACTCTCCATAAACAATAGCTATTGTTACACTGCACAGGGCCTGGCATGAAGTAAATTCTTAATACATGGGAGCTGGGGTGAATAACAATTTTGTGTTTCGTGCCAGTTTTGAATTTATTGCACTTGATGGGGCACTTCTTTCCCCTTTTGAGGGTGTCTCATGCTTCCCCCTTCTGTCTGTGTCATCCTGGCCTGCTGTTAGCCAGCTATTTCTGGTCTGTTCTTTTTGAGGGGAGGGGATCACATACATTTAAATGTTGCTGTCTCTGACTCCAGTAGACTGCTCCAATCTCCAGCTGGGCTCTGCAGTGCACTAGAGTAGCTCAAGTGATTCTGAACTTGTTTTTGCAGGGTTTTGTTTTGTTTTGAGCAGAGGACTATCTTCTGTTAATTTGCTTTTTATTTTTGTTTATTTATTGACTTAGGTGGTTGGCCAGTACAGGGATCAAATCCTGCACCTTGGTGTTACCAGCATCACACTGTAACTAACTGAACTAACCAGCCAGCCCCTAATTTGCTTTTTTTTTTTTTTTCCTTTTTGTCTTTTTTTCGTGTCCGGCAACGGATCGCAACCCTCGGTGTCGCGCCCGCACCTCGCTCAGCCAGTGAGCGGGAACCGGTCTGTATGTGGGATCCAAACCCTTGGCGGGAGCACCACTGCACTCCCAAGCGGCGCACTGTAGCAGTGCGCCACCGGGCCGGCCCCCTAATTTGCTTTTGAAGAAACAGTAAATTTGCTCCTGGCTTTACCTATTGATCCCCATTTTGGGTACTTCTCTGGCCCAAATTTGCATCAACGGGGAATTTGCAGGCAGGTCCATGATCCAGGGGTCCCCTCCCACATGGCCATGCCTGCCCTCCATAGCCACGGTGTGTCTTTAAGGTGTGTCCTGGCCCACCTTCCCATTCCTACCTTCTTCATGCCACAGTTGACAAAGGAGCCGTGGCCTGGCCGGGTGGGCCGGTCCACCACGACACCCTCTCGGAACTCAGACTCCTCATCCTGCCGCATGTGGTGGGGGCTGTCCAAGGGGTTCAGGAGCCCTGTGTGGGGGAGGGTCCGGGAGGAGTCTGGGAAGTGCTAAAGCACACGGGGGTGAGGTGGGTACCTGGTTCAAGTTCCAGCTCTGCCACAGGCCTGCTGCTTGACATCAGGCACAGGCCCTGCCCTCCCAGGCCTGTTTTGCCAACTGGACAGTGTCAGGGATGATCCATGGGAAATGAGGGTCAGGCCCACCCAGCCTTACCTGCAAACTGCAGATCCTGGTGTTTGGGGAAGAACGCCTTTCTCAGGTACCTAGTAAAGAATGCAGGTCTCAGGAGGTTCTCAGGGGAGGCCCCCTCCTCCCTGACCTCCATTTTGACTACCCTCCCTCATGCTCAGGGAAGTCACCCCTTACTGTGGACATTCCAGGTACTGCAGAATCCGGGCCAGCTGTACACACGCTTGCCCCTTCTTGCCAACTCCTGTGAATTCCCCCTCCACAGTCCTGGAGAGAGAGAGGGCTCAGGATCCAGCTGTGGTCTCCTTCAAGAGCTCCTCCCAGGGCTGGCAGGTTAGCTCAGATGGTTAGAGTGAGATGTTATAACACCAAGGTTAAGGGTTCAGATCCCCATACCAGCCAGCCACCAAAAAAAAAAAAAGAGCTCCTCCCAGGGCTGGCAGGTTAGCTCAGAGGGTTAGAGTGAGATGTTATAACCCCAAGGTTAAGGGTTCAGATCCCCATCCCAGCCAGCCACCAAAAAAAAAAAAAAGAGCTCCTCCCAGCCAATCTGACCCAGCCTTACAAGTCTACCCACTAAGGATTACAATGGGGGCATTTCAGACAGGGCACACAGGAAGAGCCAGGCAGGTGGGCAGGGGGTTAGGTGAAGCCACAGCCAATCCTGGCAACCCCTCGCTTCTTCCTGGGGCCTGGTGCCCTGTGAGATGGTTACTCACTTGGCATCTTGGCCCTCCTCATCGAACACCACAATCTCATCCACACAGAAGATGGCACAGGCTCTGGCAATCTGGCCAGACAGGTAGGTGCGAAGCTCAGGCGACTGGGCATTGTCCAGGATGGAGCCTGGCAGGGCCACACTCAGGGTGTAGTACTGTCCTGGGCAGGGGAGGGGTTTCCTGGTCAGCCTCAGAGGCCCCACTCTCCCCTCCCTTCCTCTATCCCCAGGCCAAAGGTTAGAGAATTTTCCAACTGTGTTTTGAGATCAGCAAAATCGATCCAACTCCCCTCTCTGGACCTCAACCTCTCCAGGAGGAAAGTGGATGCAGAGGTCTCCAAGGCTCCTTTGAGCAGGGTGGACCACAGGCAGGGCTGGGGAGTGGCTAGAAGCACTGGCCTAAGTTCACCTCCTGGCTCTGCCCCTTACTGCCTCAGTTCTCTAGCTGTCGGGGGAGATAATAATGAGGTAATATCTAATAAGCCTTTTATATGTGCACATTAACCCAATCGCCCCAGGAAGTAGATACTACCATTATACCCATTTATAGGCGAGGAGCCTGCAGCCCAGAGAAGTCAAGTACATGGCCCAAGGTCACACAAAATGTGGGGCAGCTGAGATATTGGGTTCAGGCTTTCTGGCTCTAGAAGAACCACCACATTCCCTCCCTCCTAGGGTTTTCTGGAGGGAGCCACAAGAGTTAACGCCCATAAAAGCCTTCTCCAGTCTCTGGCACAGATGATTTGCTTGGGTGCTGTCTCCATCATCACTGGTAACTACTGGGCTCTACAAGGGTATGATGTGGCGCCCTGACCCTCCATAGCTTTGGGTCTGGCTGAGGAAAGAAGATATATTTTGTTAGGGTAGATCCAGATGTACTGACGTGGAAGCACATCCAGGGCATAATGTCGGATGGGAAAAACCAGGTCCAGAAGCACCTACATAAAATGGCCTCATTGTGGTAAAATTGTATCTGTATCTCTCTGTGCAGGTATAAGCGGGGATAACTTTCACCATAATGTTTGCTGGCATTTCTCTTTTCTTCTTTATAGTCTTCTGTATTGTTTTGAGTATGTACTATTTATTTAAAAAAAGATATTTTTATTATGAAATCAAAATAATAAATGAAAAATGAAATTAAAGGACGCAGAAAATGCTCCATAAAAAAGTGAAAAAAATAAAGAAAACTAACTTTACAATTCTGAGGTTCTGGAGGTTTAAAGTTAAGAGAGCTTAGCCTCCCTAAGTAGAAGATTAGGACTCTGCTGGGTTCCTCCCCTTCTTTGGGCCCGAGTTTCTCCTTCAGGATAAGATGTTTGGACCCATTGGTCTCTCAGGGCCCTTCCAGATATGACATTCTCTGCTTTGTCTACAGGACAGCCACTGCAGGCCACAGCCTCTGCCCCCTCCCAGGACCCAGCTGCTCACCCCGGTCCTTCCTCTGTGCAGCTGCCTCCTCCTCCTCCTCCTGGTGCTTGGCCTGTTCCTCCTGTGCCCGCTGTCGCTCCAATTTCTTTGTCAGCTTGAGATCCTTCCACTTCTTTTTCTCCTCTTTCTCTGGATAAAAGAATATCCTGATTGGTGGAGGGAAGAGGGACTTGGAACAGTTGAGGAAAACGGTTCCCTCTCCTGGGGTTTCAGCCTGGGTTCGGGAGTGGGTGAGCAGCCAGAAGGCAGCAAGGGAGCCTCCCCAGGGCTCCTGGCCCTTTGCCCACCACCAGTTTGGGTGCTGTGGGACCCAAAGGGGACAAAGCTGGTGTCCTCCCAAAGTGCACTGCTGGAGTGGTCTGAGGAAGGGTGGTCACAGACAGTCTTCCCCACGCCCCCAGCCCTTACTTACTCTGTTGCTTCCATTTTCGCCACTCGATTCTTTGGCCATGTTCACCCTGGAGTAGGAATGGGAGGAAGATTAAGAGTGTGAGGCTGGGGGCTGGTGGGTTAGCTCTGTTGGTTGGAACACGGGGTTATAATACCAAGGTCAAGGGTTCAAATCTCCATAACCGCAGCAAAAGAAAAAAAAAAGAAAGAAAAAAAAAATGTTGTGGCTGAAAGGCCACACCTGGGAGGGGTCCCACTTGCTGCGGAGCAGCCATCTTCTCCCTCTAAATGGGGATGGTGAGGCAGCCAACGAACCTCTACCCACTGCAGCCCCAGAGACAGCGTCAGGAGGGCAGAGACCCGCTGTACCCCCAATTCCTGGGACCAGGCCTGGCCCATAGTAAGCACTCAATAAATTGTGGAATGGGCTCCCACGGGACAGAAGAGGAAACCGAGGCTCAGGGGACAGGACCTGCCCACTGTCGCCCTGGGAGCCAGAAGACCTAAGCCACGAAGGGCTCGGGACTGCGAGCAGGGTCCCTGGCCAGAGAGCCACAGGGGGCTCCGACCACACGCCACCTGACGCTGTCCCAGCCCCAGCCCCAGCCCCGACCCCGGCTCCCACCTCCGGTTCTCATCCGGGCCGCAGCGCACGCGGCCACCAGCTTTCAGTACGTTCTGGGCTTCCAGCCTCGGGTTGGCTAGAAGCAGGGAGCGGGAGGCGAGGCGGGCCCTGCCAGAGGCCCCCAGCGACTCGTGCCACGCGCCGACCCCGCTGCCCTGCCCGGGGTCCCACCTACCGGGCCGCAGGGCCGCTTCCTCCCGCACTCCGCCATGTTCCGCCGCTCACCGTCGGCCACGCCCCTGCCAATCGCACTCGCCTCTTCCGGCCACGCCTCCACGAGCCGCCCAATCGGAGCCAATAGCGCGGGGGGCGTGGCCTAGGTGGCCGGCGGCGGCGAGAGCGCGTGGCGCCGGGGGGCTGCCGGAGTGGGCAACACCGCGGCTACTTTCCCGGATTCTTGGATGCCTCGAGAGCCGCCTTCCGGGTCGGGACAAGTACAACACTCAGGCCTCTGCGCGGCTTCTTACATGGGGACTCTTAGGCCCAGAGCTGGGATGTAATCCCCTACTGGAAATGACTTGAGAGATAATTTAGTCCATTTCTTTTACAGATTCGTCCATGTACTCTTTCTCTTTTAGTGAACTCACTTTATTTTCTAAAGCAGTTTTAGTTTAGAAAATTGAGCAGATAGTGCAGAGTCCCTGTGCAAGCGCCTTACAGTTTTCCCAATTGTTAACATCTTGCTTTGGTGTAATACATTCTTACAGCTGATGAACAATATTGATACACTATTATCAACTAACGTTCATTAGGGTTCACTCTTTGAGATGTTCTTTTTTAAAAAAAAATTATTTTATTTATTGAATCAAAATTGATTGTACACATTTTTCGGGTTCAACATTGAGATATGTTGATCGAATCAATATTACTACCACATATATTGTTACAAGTCGTAATTATTCTTTATGCCCCTTGTCCAAACTTTCCTCATCCCCCCTTACCCTCTCCCTCCCCCCTCTAATTGCCCTGGATTTCTTCTCTCCTTCTGAAAGAACAATGGTTACTCTGTTAATTTGTTGCCTAGATGATCTGTCCAATGCTGAGAGGTGTGATCAGGTGAGATGTTTGTTCTATGGGTTTTGACAAATGCATAATCATGTATCCACCATTACAGGACCTTACAGAATAGTTTCATTGCCCTAAGAATCCCCCATGCTCCACCTATTCATCATTCTCCCCCTCCCAGCCCCTGGCAACTATCGATCTTTTTAAAATTGTCTCTACAGTTTTGTCTTTTCCAGAAAGTCATATAGTTGAAATCATACTGAATGTAGCCTTTTCAGATTGGCTTCTTTCATTAAGCAATATGGATTAAGCATTCATCCATGTCTCTGTGTGACTTGATATCTCATTTTTTCTTTTCTTAAAAAATGACTGGTGGGGCCGGCCCGGTGGCGCACTGCTACAGTGCGCCGCTTGGGAGCGTGGTGGTGCTCCCGCCGAGGGTTCGGATCCCACATACAGACCGGCCGCTCACTGGCTGAGCGAGGTGCGGGAGCAACACCGAGGGTTGCGATCCCGTTGCCGGTCCCGGTCCGGTACGGGCGCGACACTGAGGGTTGCGATCCGTTGCCGGTCACGAAAAAAGACAAAAAAGGAAAAAAAAAAAATGACTGGTAAGGGGATCCATTGAGAAAATAGAATAATTTGATCAGGCCCCCTTGCCTTAGGTCAGGTTGGGGGTGGTGCAGTGCATTCTTTGTAACCAAATTGTGAGTGGTTGGAGTTAGTGCACATGCGCCACGCTGTGGTTTGGCTGGTGTCTGTCTCGGGCATCCATGCTGAGCTTTGCCATGCTCTCCAACCTATGGCTCCAAGGACCTGTTTGCCTGTTACCTAGCTCATAGACCTGCGTGTGAGGGGTCTGGTGACCCAGCCTGGCATGTGAAGGGTTTGTGACTCAGTCTGTGAATGGGCTTGAGGAGTCTGTGAGCTCAAGACCCAGCCCTAACTTGACAATTGGCCCAGTCGGCAGGATTACCTGCACGTAAAAGAGCTCGACAGGATCTTAACCCTTGACTTGCTGTTGTCAGCACCATGCTCTCCCAAGTGAGCTAACCGACCATCCCTATATGGGATCTGAACCCGTGGCCTTGTTGTTATCAGCACCACACTCTCCCAAGTGAGCCACGGGCTGGCCCTTGATATCTCATTTTTTATTGCTGGATATTTTGTTATATGGATGTGCCACTGTTTATTCATTCACCTTTTGAAGGTCATCATGGTTGCTTTTGTTTTTTCGCAGTTACAAGCTGCTATAAATATTTGCAGGTTTTTGTGTGGACATAAAGTTTTCACCTCTTTAGGGTAAATATCTAGGATTGTTGGTAAGATTGGATCCTATGGTAAGATTATGTTTTGACTTTTTAAGAAAGTGCCAAACTTTCAAAGTCGCTGTACCTGTACTGGGCTAGCCAGTTAGCACAGTTGGTTAGAGCACAGCCTTATAACACCAAAGGCTGGGTCACCTTACTGGCCAGCCACCAAAAACCAAAACAAAACAAAGACAAAGTGGCTGTACATCTTGCCAGCAATGAATGTGATACTCTTTTTAAAATAAATACATTTGAGTCAACATTCATTCAACTAGCAAATATGTATTGAGCAGCACCTATTTGGAGGAAGGAACTCTGGGGTAACTGCCAGGGACACAAAGACAAGCAAAAGCAGACATTGAACTAGAACTTATAACCTAGTAGAGGAGGGATTAGGCAAATAACCACTCACATAAATGTAAACCCACCTCAAACTTTTCAAATTAAAATAAATTTAGGGGGCTGGCTGGTTAGCTCAGTTGGTTAGAACATGTTGCTGATAACAACAAGGTCCAGGGTTCAATCCCTCTATCAGCCAGCTGCCAAAAAGAAGAAAAAGAAATACATAAAATAAATTTAATATTAGTTAACTTTTTTTTTTTTTAAGATAACTAGTAAGGGGATCTTAACCCTTGACTTGGTGTGGTCAGCACCATGCTCAGCGAGTGAGCAAACCGGCCATCCCTATATGGGATCCGAACCCATGGCCTTGGTGTTATCAGCACTGCACTCTCCTGAGTGAGCCACGGGCCGGCCCTAATATTAGTTAACATTTTAACTTAAAATTACAAGTCCATATGCCAGATTCTCAAACATTTTAAACACCTTAAAAAATACATACATGCTGATCATAATTATTATAAAGTTATTTCTAATTCAATATATATTAATATTACAGGGGTGTGTTTATTTTACCATCTCCTTTTTTTCTCCCTGCCCCTGAATGAGAGGGCAAAGTCACTTTCATATACCTAAGGGAGGGTCTACCATCCCAGGCTGGCTGAATTGCTCAGTCTAAGGTTTGGAACATCCTTAGGGTCACAGCTTTGAGTTATAGGAAAATTCTGGCATGGTTCATGAGACATGGGACCTTTGGTCGGGGTGGTTCTACCCAAGAAATCTATGGATTGGCCCCACAGAGAACTTTCTTACCATTAGATTATGCATAGTGTGGCAAAGGGGCCCCAATCCTGAGCCCTTTAGCTGGTCTCTTGTTTCACAATCCTGACTCTGAAACAGTGGTAGTAGTACCAAGTTGTGGCTTGGAAGTAAAAGAGGGAAGTGTCTTGTGTCATTCTGGCACCAAATAGATTCCAACAATTCTGACGCCAACTGGGTGTCCTACAATTCAATTCAATTGTGACATTAACTACCCAAGTTAGCATAGACTGCATGGGTGAAGGGCTCAGTCCCACAGACTGCCTCCACTTCAGATGCCAGCAGCAAGTGGGGTCTCCAGGTTGCTTGCACTTCTGGCTGATTACATATTCGGAACTCAGAATATAGCACTCAGAAAAGCACTATACTTAAGATCACAGTTTTATTACAAAGGATACAACCCACGAAGGAAGAGGCAAATGTAAGAGGTACCCAGGGCAAGGTCTTGGGGGCGGGGGGTGCCGAGATGTTCCATGCCCTTCTGGGAGAATCGCCCTCCAGCACATGGATGTGTTCACCAACCCAGAAACTCCTTGAGCCTTTTTATTTCAGGGCTTTTATATGGGGCTTGCTAAACAAAAATTTGAGGGGGTCACTGCTTTGGACTGAGCTCCTGCACTAGGCTGCAACAGACCAGACCAAAGCAGAATGGAATCACTAGTGTGAAGGGTCTTGTAACCAAACTGAACATTGAAAGGAGCTGGTTTTGGGCCAGCCCCGTGGCGCACTCGGGAGAGTGCGGCGCTGGGAGCGCAGCGACGCGCTCGCGCCTCAGGTTCGGATCCTATATAGGAGTCGCCGGTGCACTCACTGGCTGAGCGTGGTGCAGGCGACACCACACCAAGGGTTGCGATCCCGTTACCGGTCACGAAAAAGACAAAAAAAAAAAAAAAAAAAAAAAGGAAAGGAGACGGTTTTCTAAAAATCAGCCGANGCACGCACACGCACACGTCCATGACCCAGTCAAGTCCTCAACCCTTACACGCACGCACGCGTGCACACACACATATGTCTATGACCCAGTCACCTCATCCAGAACCAGTAACCGGTACATCAGATTGACAAAGGGTGAGGAATGCCATTGGGATCCCTGAGTTCTTGGCCAGATTTCACCACTAATTAACTGTGTGACTTCAGCCAAATCTCAAGTCCCTGAGCTCTTCTGGCCTCGGTTTTACTCCGCAAAAAATACACTTGTACAAAGGGGTGGGGTGGGGTCTGAAGTTCTCCGAGGTTCCTCCCATTCTGACCAAGTCCCATCAGCGATCAGCACCAGAGTGTGAAGCAGAGAGAGGCAGTCATAAGGGTTTGCATAACTTAAAACTTTATTATGGGCAAAAAGGACGGGCTTAAGGACTCAACCATAAAGGCAAATTTCGAAGTTCAAGGTGAGATAAGGAAAGGCCTGAGCCTTAGCTGGGGCCAGGACAGGGATGGGACTTGAAGTCCTATACACTGTTGGACTCTGCTCCTTCAGCCCCAGCCAAGTCTGGGGAGGCCAGAAACAACCCAAGGCACAACGACCGGTCCTAGGGAGGTGCAGGGAGAGGCTGAGGACAGGCCTTCACCTCCAAGACAGGAGTATAGGCACTATGGGGAGGTGACTCCCGACTCCCCCAAGACCAAAAAGGGGGGCTTTCCCTGGGAATATTCCATGTCATAGAGAAGGGGTACCCTGTACCATCCATTTTCTCCCGACCTGGGAGTGGCTGAAACCTGGACCAGGACAGACACCCAAGGAGTGCATAGGAACCAGACAGGGCAGGGCCCAGGGGTGATGTCAGGGTCTGAGATCAGACTTCCACTGCTGTAGCTTCTCGTCCATGGCCCGGAGTGTGGATTCATCCTGCACCAACACAGATAGGTCCTACTCTCTCCCACGCTCCCAGCGGGCCTCGGGGGACTCGGTGAGGTCTTTCCTCTCCCAGCCCTGCCCCTTACCTTTGCAAAACAGAAGCGGACATAGTGGTCAAAGGGCATCTGATGTTGCACATTACAGAAGATGGAGACTGGGATGGCTGCCAAGCCCTGGGGAGGAGGAAAATGTGAAAGTGGAGGAAATCACTTTTTTCAGACAAAATAGGGCTAGGAAAGGCACAAAGGAGGGGGGCTCATGCTTGCTTGTCTGAGATAAAAACTGTTTCCAAAGACCTTCAAAAAACCCTGCCAGAAATCCCTTCATGTCCACACATCTCCTGCTTTGCACGGGGTGCACATTTTGCACGGCTTGCACATATTTCTGTGACGAGGCTTATCACTAGACATTTTTTAGAACTGCAGCAACTCAGATAGCATGCTCCAAAAGAACTCTTGCCAAGTAACAGCACACAGCATCTCTACCAATGGACTGATGACAAGTCTGGCTTTGAACCTCTGAAAACAATGAACTCTGTTTCCAAGCAACTTATGTGAACCTCCCTTTTGCCAATAACAGCTTTCTCTTACCCTTCCCTCACCAGTACACCTGTGGCTGGCCATTGCCATGTACCTGGGTTATAATCCTCATTTCTTATTCCTGAATAAACTCAACATATTTGGATGTGTGTGTGTGTGTGTGTGTGTGTGTG